CCAACTTTATCCTTAAAATGCAACCCAGTTATTTCTGAAAGTCTGAACAAAAACATTTTCATGATTAAATAGCCTTTTCAGATTCTCTACAAATTCCTCCAATTAATACAATTAATACATTTACTTTTTTGCTAGGTATGTTATTGGACCATTCCATCAACTTACTCTTGTTTTTGAAAATCTAGCATAACACATGAAAACTTAGGAGTTCCAACAGGTACTATACATAAAGTCCCTATTTTGTATAAAGAAAGTGGAGTCTATCATAATTGGGTATTTCATACTCTGAGAAGCAACTCTTCACCCTTTGATAAAACAATTTAAGATGCTGAATAACTAATATTTAAAGTATCTTCAAGAACACCTGTTGAAAAATACGGTAGGAATGGTTTGGATTAGTTTTCCATTTTATTAAGCAAGCAAAATTCTAAGTATTTAGAATCGTACTTGCTATCAAAAGTAGAGTCGATAACGAGAGCTTAATTCTTTCATGATCTCATCTTCACATTTCTGTAATGATTTGAAAGCTGTCAATTCAAGTGTTTAAAAGCTATGTTAGGAATTTGCTTAATAAGTTTCAGGAACACCTGTCATTCTCTAGTAAACTAACATAAAAATACGTAGTTTTTTTCAGTTTCACTTACATTTGATTCTTCGCTGCTTGCCTCTGAGCTTTTCTTTCTTTCCTTTTCTGATCTGGTGGCTTAGCAAAAACAATTTCAATATTTTCTCCCTCCAACTCTTTGCCATTCATTTCTTCCATAGCCTTGAAGAATTACACATTGATTAACATAAAAATAGCCTTTCAGAATAATTATGACATTTAGTTAAAAAAATTGTTAGTCTTAATGATATAATAGGCAATATCATCCTCTCAATAATACACAATTTAATAAGATTTCAATGATTAAGTTCTACAACTTTGTTTTTAAACTGAGACTGATCTAAGGCCATTCAAGGTTTGAATACTTTCTGCAAATGAACATCCTTCACTTTTTTAAGCATAATGATTGTAGAACTAAAACTCATTGGCTTGTTTTAAATGCCTTTAACCCCCAACATTGCTTACCTTGACAGCACCATCTCGTTCATCAAAATGAATAAAAGCATAATCTTTTAATTTCTTTACTCGTTCCAGTTTCCCAAACTGACTAAATGCCTTTTCTAAAATCTCTTCTGTTACAGTATTGGCAAGGTTCCGTACAAAAAGCACTTTGACCTGAAATTCAAAACACAAATTCTCAGCATATTTCCAAATTCAATTTGCAACATATCACCATCTCACCTTACAAAGTTAACTTGCATCACAACAATCCATTAGACTATTACAAACATAAATTTTTCATCTGAGTTGGACAAATACCAAGAAGCGAGAATGCTATGTAAGATCAATTAATCAGAAGCAGATATCTTACCAAAGATACACAGATAATAAAAAAGGCTCAAGTCGTTCATCATTCCAGTCCAGCTCGATGGCATCTGGCTAACCTTGCCCAAACCACCTTCACAAGTGCCAGGATCCCATATGGGTGCCAGTTTATGTCCTAGCTGCTCCACTTCCCATCCAGCTAGCTGCTTATGGCCTGGAAAATGCAAAAGCTGGCCCCAAGGCTTTGGAGCCCTGTACCTGTGTGGAAGACCAAGTAGAAGCTCCTAGCTCCTACGTTTGGACTGGCTCAGCTTCAGCCATTTCTGGGTGAGTCAGCAAATGGAAAATTTATCTCTTTTTCTGTAAATTGGCCTTTCCAATAAAAATAAAAGGCTTAAAAAAATTCACCATTCATGCAGGAACTACAAATTAAAACAAAAGTGGATAGATATCCATTAGAATAATGAAAATCCACATCTATGAGACCGGCCTTCCATATGGATGCCAATTTGTGTCCTGCCTGCTCCACCTCCAAATCAGCTACCTGCTTGTGGCTTGGGAGAGCAGAAGATAGCTCAGCTCCTTGGGCCCATGTACTTTCGGAGATGTGGAAGAGGCTTTGCATTGGCCCACTCCAGCCATTGTAACCGTCTGAGAAATAGAGCAGTGATGAAAGATCTGTCTCTCTGTAACTCTGCCTTGAAAATAAGATAATCTTGAAAAAAATTCAAAACACCAACAATAAAAGTGGAGCAACAGAACTCTATCAGTGGGGATGCAAAATGGCACATGTACTTTGGAAAACAGTATAGCAGTTTCTTTAAAAGTTAAGGATATTCTCTCCAATCCAGCAGCAATCTCTTTCCCTGGTATTTATCTAAAGGGGCAGAAAATTCCTATTTCCACAAAAATCTGTACACAGATGTTTATACTAACTTTATTAACAACTGCCAAAAATTAAAATTGAAATATATTTTCAAGTGGATACACTATCAAGAAATGAACCACGAAGCCTTTATCAGCAGGAAGAAACCCTAAAAGTGTATTAACAAATGGAGAATCTTGAGCTTTTATAAACAAAAAAAGCTAAATCTGTGGAGATTCCAATTGTATCATGTGCATGTTCCAAAAAGACCACAAAGAGATCAGTGACTGCTGCTGTGGTTGAGAAAAACCAGCAAGCACAGAAGACATCAGAGCGGTGAAACTCATATGGTACCACTAGTGTGAAACTAAAACGGGGATACATGTCAGCATACATGTTGAAACCCTAAGTAAAACACCAACTGTAAAGCTACTGCAAACATGGAACTTTGGTGATCAACACAGATTCATCGCTTTTGAAAAATTATGACTACCATAGTGTTGCTGGCGAATGGCTGTGTATGTTTACAGGTAGTCAGTATGGACTCAGCACAATGGCTCAGTGGCTAAATCCTCGCCTTGCACATGCCGGGATCCCATGGACATCAGTGCGTGTCCCACCTGCTCCACTTCCCTTCCAGCTCCCTGCTTGTGGCCTGGCAAAACAGTTGAGGACACCTCAAGGCCTTGGGACCCTGCACCTGTATGACAGAACAAAAACAGCTGGCTCCTAGTTTCAGATTGGCTCAGCTCTGGCCATTACAGCTCCTTGGGGAGTGAACCAGCAGAAGAAGGATCTTTCTCTCTATAAATCTGCCTTTCCAATAAAAAATAAATAAATGTGTTTTTTAAAATTAGCAGGAAGTATGTTGCAAATTCTAGTGTTCATCAAATTTTGCTTTAAATATAAAACTTCTCTAATAAACAATTTAGAAAGAAAACTGAAGATAGCGTGCAATAATCATTTCCTCACAGTCGGGAAAAGCTGAATCTTTTTTTTTTTTAAAGGAATTATTTTATTTTTATTGGAAAGTCAGATATACAGAGAGGAGGAGAGACAGAAGATTTTCTGTCCTATGATTCACTTCCAAAGCGGCTACAACAGCTGGAACTGCACCGATCCAAAAGCCAAGAAGCAGGAGCTTCTTCTGAGTCTCCCACACAGGTGCATGGTCCGAAGGCTTTTGACCTGTCCTCTACTACTTTCCCAGACCACAAGCAGGGAGCTGATGGGAAGTGGGGCCATCTAGATAAGCTCCAGTACCCATATGGGATCATTGGAGCCTACAAGACAAGGACTTTAACCACTAGGCTATTGTGCCGCCAGACCCTGGAAGAGCTGAACTTTAACACTCTAACACAACTATCTAGGACCTGTTCTTGAGATCTTATAGAAGTAACAATCAAAATTAAGATAAATTCTAGTATTAACCCTGAAAATTTCTCCAAGTATAATTAAGAATTTAATTTTTTTTTTTTTGGCTAAGAAACCTTATCATTTTCTCCTAAATTGGAATTTATTAATCTAAAATGCTAATCCAGTAAGCTCTCATAGGTCAGTGAGAGAGGATCCTAAATGTCTTCCATCTCACACTTCTATGAATTTATCTTAGTTATAAAAGGGGACTTTCAAAGGTTCATGGAGGAAAAAAAACCGGAAATAAAAAAAGTGGAAATGAAGCAAATCTTTTTATGTAGCCCCCTCGTTTGGCAGACTGTAACTAATAAAAGGAGAACTCTCCCTAGACAAAGGGTAGAATAACTTAACTGCAAACTTCAATAGAATGCATCAAAGTGTTGACTGGAGATGTTTATTCTCACAGGGTATCTCAACTGACTGTGAAAGCAGTGTCCTAATAATAGCTAACCGTAACTGCAGCAGTTCTTTGGGCCCGTACTGTTCACTATTTTTAGAAACAAGACTTTAAAAAAAAATTGTAAGTTAATGGCATCATTCAAGGAAACTGCTCTTATAATCTACATAATATGTAAATAAGCCATGCCCACCACATGTAGTCTAACTACTTCATAAAGAATGATGCTTACATAATTATGGCTGAAGATCCATGAATAAATATCTACATTCACTTCACATGCATATTGTTATGTCTACTGAGTCCCTCTTACTAAAAACATTTCTCTCATCTTCGTAAGTATGGCTGAAAAACTGCACAATTCACTTCTTTCTGACTCATTCAACCATCTTCCATTAATACTTCAAAAAAGATCTTTCTTTACCTTTGCCATAACCTCAGGATCGGGATCTTCTATAGGGTCAGCCCATTCAACAGTTCCAACATTTCCCCAGACCTTAACTTTACCACTCATTAATCTACGCCGTGCCTGGGCGGCTGTTTTGTGATCTTCATACTCAAGAAAGCAAAAACCTCTGTTTTTTTTCTTATCGTCTGGTTGGTGGTATAAAATGACGTCTGTAAGACCCTCTGAAAATAAACAACCACCGAAGATTTTAGCATAAAATAGCAAGTGTAAGTAATCACAGCATTTGTATTTGAGATACTTTAAAAAGGAAAATAATACTTCCACTACTCATGTTTACAAATGACTATAAAAATCAGTTGCAGATACATTTTCAAATCCATCCTTTCCAAACATTTCCAGCAAAATAAACACATTTTCTTAGACTCAAGGATAGTTTTGTTTCCATTAGTGAAATCAAACAGGTATGTGAAAATCTGTATTTTTTTTTAAAAACTCCTTTATTTGGAAGGCAGAGTTAGAAAAAGGAGAGCTCTTCCATCCACTGACTCACTCCCCAAACAACCACAACAACCACAGCTAAGCCTGTCCAAAGTTGAACCCAGAGCTTCTTCTGCGTCTTCCATTAAAGATGCAGGGTCCCAAGAACCCGAATCATCTCCCTTTGCTTTTCTAGGTCATAAGCAGGGAGCTGGATCAGAAATAAGCAGCCAGAAACATGAACCAACACCCATATGAGACACTGGACCACAGGTGGAGGTTTACCAAGCAATGCACTGGTACTGGCCTCTTAATTTTTTTTAAAGAATACACCAATGCAGGGCCCAGTACAGTATCCTAGTGTCTAACTTTGCCTTTCGCGTGCTAGTTTGTACCCCAGGTGCTCCACTTCCCACCCAACTCCCTGTTTATGGCCTGGGAAAGCAATAGAGGAAGGCCAAAACCCTTGAGACCTGCAGCCATGTGGAGACCCAGAAGAAGCTCCCGACTTCTGATCAGCTCAGGTTCAGCCACTGAGGCCACCTGGGGAGTGAACCAGCAGATGGAAGATCTTTATGGTAGGTAGGTAGGTAGGTAGGAAGGAAGGGAGGGAGGGAGGGAGGGAGGAGCAATGTAGGGGCTGGCAGTGTGGCATTAGCAGGTTGCACTTCATTTTGGAGTGTTGATTCCAGGCTTGGTTGTCCACTTCGAACTGAGTTTCTTAATACCACCTGGGAAGCAGTGAAGCACTCTTACCCGTCATCCACATTGGATACCTGCATAGAATTTTAGGTTTATGGCTTCTACCTAGCTCAGATCTGCTTGTCGCAGCCATTTGGGAAATAAGGAAGCAGAAAACAGCCACACACTCTAACTATGCCTTTGAAATAGCTTTTTAGGAAACAACCAAGTGAAGAAGCAACCAACAGAATGAGAAAATTTTTTGCACATTACACAAGTGATAGGGGACTAATATCCAGGATTTACAAAGAGTTTCAGAAACCCAGGAACAGAAAAAAATCATACAACACTGTAACAAAATGGGCAAAGGAAATGAATAAACATTTTTCAAAAGAACAGATTCAAATGGCTAGCAGACATATGAAAAGATGCTCGGGCTCCCTAGCCATCAGAGAGATACAAATGAAAACCACATTGAGGTACCACCTAACTCCAATCAGACTGGCCTACATTGATATCTCAAACAACAGCTGCTGGCGTGGATGTGGGAAGAAAGGTACCCTCCTTCACTGCTGGTGGGAGTGTAGGCTAGTACAACCACTGTGGAAATCAGTGTGGAGAGCCCTTTGAGAATTGCAAATAAACCTGCCATATGACCAAGCTATCCCGGCTCCTAGGAATATACCCAATAGAAGTGAAATCTGCATACCAGAAGGGGATCTGTAATCCTATATCTGCAGCAGCACAATCTACAATAGCAAAGACATGGAAACAATCCAGATGTGCATCCAAAGAAGAGTGATTAAAGAAACCATGGTACATCTACTCCATGGAATATTATTCAGCTATTAAGAGGAATGAAATTTTATTATTTCCAACTACGTGGTCCCAACTAGAGATCATTATGCTCAGTGAAATGAGTCAATCGCAAAATAACAAGTACCATATATTCTCTCTTACATAAGGAAACCAGCATGGACAGTGTAACTTCAATAATCCGATCCATACTGTTTTTCGTTTGTTAGGGCTGTATCCCATGTTTTGGTGTTTATTTCAGTTTTCTCTTGTCAAATTCATTACTGGCTCATGGATTATACAGTGGTGTCATTTTTCCCAAGAAACTTGTGTTTCCTTTTTGTCACCAATGTGTTGGTTACTCAGTGGCGCGTTTTGTTATGGTGCTGTAATTTGCTGCTGTCGTGGCTGTTCTAACTCACACCAGATGTTGACCTTGTTTCATGGCTTATCAATAATGGAAATGTATAGTGATGGCTGGGGTCTACCATATCCAGATGTGGGGGTATAATGAAATATGCATCCCTGCTTCCAGACGAAAGATGGATTCCCAATGAAACTGTTGGACATGTCTAGACAATGGGATGCTGGGCTGACATTGCCTGTACCAAAAAAATGTCAGGGTACACTTAAATAAGAGACTGATAGACTTATGATTCCTTATGAAGGACGACACTCTTGTAGTAAAACAGGGAAAATCTGTCTGGGGGTGGGAGTTTGGTGGGGGGGCGGGGGGAATCTCAGCCTATACGAAATTATACCACATAATTCAAAATTCAAAATAAAAATATTTAGAAAATAAATCAAATGGTATTTCTTATTACAAAAGGAAACACTAAAAATTGTATCATATTTTTCTCTTTATCTCAAAGGTCTTACCATCTAAGAATTTCAAATCTGTAATTGCAATAAACTGATACTTCATTAAGCACAGCAGGCAAAGCATTTCCCAATAAAAAGCAGTTTATTATTTAGGAATTATTATAAAAATGAGATATAGTTCAAAAATGTTAAAACATTAGCAATGCATAATCTGTTAACAGGTATCTACTCCCATGATTTTGAGAAAAGAACGGGGGAAGAACAATGATTTTGCAGACAGAATTAAGTCTCTCCTGTATTCCTTGTAAGCTTCCGTAATACCTGGAAAGCTATTTTCCAAAATCTGTTAAGCCTGTTCTCCTTATCTGAAAAATGAGATCAACTCACCGCAAAGTTCTAAGAAAGATTCAATAAGCCAATAATGTAATGCTCAAAACAATCACTGGCACATAGAAATAGGCTATTGCATTTATTATTAAAAGCTGTACCTCTTTTCAATGAAATTTAACTTACCTGTTACTTTGCTAAATTCTTCAAGAATCTGTTCCTTGGTTTTACTCTTAGGAATAGAACCCACAAAAAGCCTATTGTTGGCAACCGAGATGCAGACACCAATATGTTTTCCAGAACGAATTTCATGATTATTATACTGAAAGAGAGAAAAAAAAACTCAGTGTTTTTAAGTTATTTATAATATGCAGAATTATTTATAACAGTAAGTCAACAAATTCCACTACAAATGATCAAGTTTAACAAGAAATTTAGTATTATGTTTTAACTAATTATTTTCACCCTTTAAAAAGTTTACAATAATTCCTACATCAAAGATCCCCTGCCTGGAAGAGGTATGAAGATATTACTAACCAAACTTAATGAATTTCCTGTAAGATTATTGTAAAATGCTTGAAATTTACAAAACTTGATACTTTAGGAAATCAATTTGTAGCAGCTTGTTTAAATTCAAAAACTGCCATTTCATAACAAGATTTTATTATCTTTAAGATTTATTTTTATTTCAGAGTCAAATATATACAGAGGAGGAGAGACAGAGAGGAAGATCTATCACTCGATGATGCACTCCTCAAGTAACCGCAACAGCTGGGGCTCCCCCATCCCAGGCCAGGAGCCAGGAACTTCCTCCAAGCCTCCCACATGGGTGCAGGGTCCCAAGGCTTTGGGCTCTCCTCGACTGCTTTCCCAGGCCACAAGCAGGGAGCAGGATGGGAAGTGGAGCTGCTGGAATTAGAACCAGCACCCATATGGGATCCCGGGCATTCAAGACAAGGATATAGCTGCTAGCCACCACGCCAGGCCCAAAATATTTAAATTAACTCTTCCATGAAGTTGATCTCATGTAAGCCAAACTGATTCCAGGACCAGCAGGCACCCAGCACATAAAATAGACAATACAATAAGAAAATTCCATTCAAAATCCCAAAAACGTAAGTTGATTAAGTGGTTTAAATGCATTGGTTCCAAGCTTGGTTATATCATGGGGACACTGAATTACCATGAGAAACATTTTAGAAATCACTAAAACTGTTACTTTTACAGGACCTGCCATGGTAGCCTAGTAGCCTAGTGGCTAAAATCCTTGCCTTGCACACTCAGGATCCCACATAGACACAGATTCATATTCTGGTTGCTCCACTTCCCCTCCAGCTCCCTGCTTGCGACATGGGAAAGCAGTAGAGGACAGCCCAAAGCCTTGGGCCCCTGCACCCATGTAGGAGACCAGAAAGCTCCTGGCTCCTGGCTTTGGATCAGCTCAGCTCAAGCCACTGCGGCTACTTGGGAAGTAACAATCAGACTTACTTACAAACTAAAAATCAAAAGCATCCATGGTATCTGAAAAGCAGACCAGATGGTATACCTAGTTGAAACCATGTCAAGCTTGTATACTAGTAATGGTGGCAACAGTTAGTAACAATTTATCAATCCCTGCACAGCTGATATCGAAGACTATTTTATAAATACATACAAGCAGAGTCACACAAACATGAATCACTACACACCTTATACAAAAATCTTATGTAAATGTAAGGAGTTAAACAGTTACTTTATTGTGTGCCATAAGCAGGGACCTGGATAGCAAGTGGAGCAGCCGGGACTAGAACTAGCACAAAGTAGAATGCCAGTGCTTCAAGGTGAAAGATTAGCCTACTGAGCCACTGCATCGGACTCAGGGATTACTTTAAGGATGACTATTTAAATTTCATTTCCAAGTAGTCTAAGTGCAGGAGCTATTATTCAGTATAATAAAAATACATAACCCCAAAAAAATCTTTTAACAAAAACTGAGCTCTATTTATACCACCATAAAGAGCAACCAAAGTCCTGATAAGAAATCTCAAAGTGGATGGGGCACAACATGATAGAGTACAGCCTAAAGTCCTCGCCTTAAACGCGTCAGGATCCCATGTAGGCGCTGGTTCTAACCCCGGCGGCCCCGCTTCCCATAATGCTCCTTGCTTGTGTCCTGGGAGAACAGTTGAGGACAGTCCAAAGCCTTGGGACCCTGCACACAAGTGGGAGACTCAGAAAGAAGTTCCTGGATCCTGGCTTCGGATCAGCATAGCATCGGCCGTTGTGCTCACTTGGGGAGTGAATCATTGGACGGAAAATTTTCCCCTCTGTCTCTCCTCCTCTCTGTGTATCTGACTTTTCAATAAATAAATAAATCTTGAAAAAAAAAAAAAGAATAGTTGTGGTCTCCTCCTATCAATAACCTGGCTCAGATTCAGCAAAATTTCTGAGATACATTTTACCTCTTCACTCTCATTTTTCTTAAGATTCATTTTTTTTTTTTATTGGAAAGGCAGATATACAGAAAGAAAGAGATACAAAGATCTTCTACTTGTTGTTTCACTCCCCAAGTGGCCACAACAGTCAACGCTGAGCTCATCCAAATGCAGGAGCCAGAAGCTTCTTCCGGGTCGCCCACGTGTGTGCAGGGTCTCAAGGCCTTCAGCCATCCTCCACTGCCTTCCCAGGTCACAGGCAGGGAGCTAGACAGGAAGTGGAGCAGCCAGGATATGAACTAGCACCCATATGGAATCCCCTCAAATGCAAGGTGAGAATCTAGCTACCAGGCTATCATACCAGGCTCACTCACTGAAATTTCCAATGAAAAACAAACCTTATACAAAAGTAAACTGGTTCTTCAAAATAAATCATCATTTCGTCCAAATAAAACAAAAGTAGTACCTAGAAATAAGCATTTCTTGAAGTAATTACTATGGATTAAGCATGTATTTTAAGCATACTAACAAAAATCTAGCACTGCAGCCCCTTGGCTCCAGGCCTTGGCCTGGCCTAGACCCAGCTGCTGCAGCCATTTAAGCAGTGTAGTAACAGACACAAGATCTTTGTGTCACTCTACATTTCAAATAAGACACCATGACATATGAAATGAACAAATGGGGAGGTCTGGTAGGGTGGATCCCAATATTAAGGAAGCTCAAAAAATCAGGCTTTCACCATTTATACTACAGTGAAGCAACCAAATACAAAAGTAAATTCTGATCATAATTCAATGCAATTTCTTAATTGAATAATCCAGAAATTCAACCTGTCATGTAGACTCATATCTTTACTTTTTCCCTTCCCTATAGACATCAGTCAGCAAATCCCCAGAAATGTACCAAATATAGATTTGGCATCTGACCCCAAGAAGTGGTTGCTCAGTCCTAATTGTACCTCCATCTATCTACTTTCAACATTTCTAAATCAGAAAACTTATCTTTGTACCTATTTCCTCCTCCAAATGATATATACCCATACATAAAGCTCAGAATTCAGTTATTCACTATGCTTAATAATTTCTTCCCCAATAGCTGCAAAGTGTTTCCAGGAGATGCCAGCAAGGCAGCACAGTGGTCCAGCAAGTTAATCCTCCATCTTATGGCACCAACATCCCATATGGGGACCAGTTTATGTCCCGGTTGTTCCATTTCTGATGCAGCCTCTGCTTGTGACCTGGAAAAGCACTGGAAGATGTCCCAGCCCTTTGAACCCTTGCACACAAGTGTAAGACCTAGAAAGCAGCTCCTGGCTCCCAATCTCCGATCAGCTAAGTTCTGGCTGTGCTGCCCTTTGGGGAGTAAACCAGTAGACAGAGACCTCTCAGTCTCCCCTCTCTGTAAAATCTTCCTTTCAAACAAAAAACACAAAAGAAAAGATCTTGACACTCCAGTGTCACTAACGAGTAACATCAATAACTACACTGGGGTAATGCAGAGCGAGACTGATTGAGGAGCCCAGAATAAACCAGAAACTACTAATAATGCTCTACCAGTAAACCACGCTTTATTTACCTTAGCTCATTTGGTAACTATACCACATTTCTGATTCACACTACACTCACCTATTAAGTACAGGACTCCAGTTCTATCAATTCCATCTTGTTATATAGAAACTAGCTCTCCTACACAACCAAAATATTTTCAGATCCTAATTTTGCCAACTAAAGCATTCTGTGTAGATTGAAACCACTACACTAAAATTTCCAGTATAGTCCAATACCCCTTTCATTTACATCATTAACAAAAGTTGGATATAGCCCATAAACAAAGCAGACACTTAGGCCCTTATTAAGATACCATGTCCTGTTTTAGAGCTCATGTGTTCTGACTCCTAGCTCTGGCTCCAGAGTCCAGCTTTCTGCTAGCACACCCTGGGAGGCAGCAATGAGTGGCTCCAGTGGTTGGCCTCTGCAACACATGTAGGAGACCTGAACTGAGTTCTCAATTCCCCTAGCCAATGAGGACATTTGGGGAGTACACAAGGACATTTGAGAATAGAAACCAATGAAGGAGTGCTCTCTAGCTATCAAAAAAAAAAAAAAGCCTAAAACACACCAATAGTAACCTGTCAATTCTCTCTCTGAAATCTCTGACCTCTTTCTTTTGCTGTAATACTCCTGATTCTCTTCAACAGAAATCCTTCATTAATCAAACATTCACATCATACCACCTACACCAAGTTCAAAACTCTTTAACAACACTGTGCAACTTATCCTGGCAATCATGAAGTACTATCTCCTAGCAATACAGCAATAACTTTTTCTGTCCTAATCCTGGTTTTTAAAACTTATGTATTTATCTGAAAGATAGAGCTGACCCACACATCTCTCATATTCTGGTTCCCTCCTCTAATGGCCCCAGCCAGGGTTGGGCCAAGCTGAAGCCAGGAGTGAAAAGCTCCATTAGGTTCTTCCACATGGGTGGCAGGAATTCGGTTCTTACACTATCATCTGTAGCCTCCCTGGCACATCAGCCAAACAGCCAAAACAAACACATAAGAGAGAGATTCCCAAGCAGTACCTTAATCTATTGTATATACCACAATGCCAGCCCCTGGCATTGACCTTAAAAACAGGTTATTTCCCACTTACATTCATGAAACGCTGCTCTAAATAGATTGCACATTTTCTTCACTGTGCTGTTCAAACCTCTTCACAAGGCTGCTGACAATCCTTACTCAAAGTAGCATACCCCTTCATCCTTTCTTCACCGTTTGAATTACCAGCATCAAGCCAGTATATTTTATTATACAGGATGAACACACGCATTTTAGCACCACTAGCCTTGGAGTTATAACTATAGCCACACACTGTCCAAAATACATACACAAACCTGTGATTCTGGT